AGCAGGCCTGTGTAAATATTACAAATAAGAAGGCCAGTTTGTAGTGCATAATAATAATACGAGTGAAATAATAATAGTCTTAAACTGTGCGATTTTAGACCAATTAATATTGAAGACTATTAAGAAGTTTAATATTTTTGAATAATGGAAGGGCAAAATAAAACACTGAATTACAGGTATTATCCATCTGGACGCTGCATTTTCAGGACAAATATCTAATACAAAGTTTTGTATAAATAGAGACAACAGATTGGATAAAACTAACTGTCTACATTAAATCATTTTAAATGAATGTATCCCAGAATGATAAACCTTACAACCATGAGACAACAATAGCTATTTGATGCATGTTCCCGGGATGTGACGAATTCTAAATAATATAATAAAATGTGTGGAAATCTAAGTAACGATCAAAGTCGTCTTTATTTGCGACACATAAGTTATCTAATTTATTTTTAGATAATCCCGATTTTACTGCTTTGTGTAAATAGATTAAAACTAAACACTTTGATATCAGTTATCGAGAAGTTTACTTTTTATTTTGGGCCTTAATATCATCAGTGAGTTGATTAAGATTCTTTTCCCATACACAACATTTATATGTTGTAACTAAAAAAATGTTTTAACTACTTAGCAATCCAATGGGAAATGACAGCTAGAAGAAACATATGATGCGTGTGTAAATAAGTCAAATAATAAACAACGAAAAATACGTTAATATATTCCAGTTTTTATTTCTATCGGCCTTCTTCATAAAATGACTTTTAATTTGCCCTAAATTGCGAAGGTCAGAGAAAGTAACACTAGTACAAAACACAATTCTGAAAGCGAAGTATTTTCCTTTTTACCTGTAAATAATTAAAAATGGAAAAAAAAACAAACTAATAGCAGTCAGAGACAATTATTCTATGAATAAACCGCTCCAGTTCATATAATTATATGCAATCGGACACATTGCTTGAAAGGCCTAAAACTTAGTTAGAAAAATATAAACAATGTTAACTTTACAAAAATATCTTGCCGAACGTTTCTGTATGTGTTTTTGTAGCCGATATTACGTTTCTTATCAGATGGATTATTAAAACCAACACTTTTAAATATTTCTTTCCATTTGAATAACTCAAGTATTTAGCTGAACATTACTAATATCGACTTATATTCGATACCATCACTGTCAACTAGTGTTAAATAACACACATATTTAATAGAAGTAGATATTTTTACCTACGTATTTTCGTGATTTCAGCAATATATAATATATACAAGTTAGTATGCAAATATGCATCATCAAGTAAGAGTTAACTATTCAAAAAAATTAATTTCAAAAATTATTTATCAGATTTTCTGGACAACGTAATACAAACTTTTCTCAATAATCTTAACTAGGCTAGATAAATAGAGTAAATACTTAACAAAATGTTATGCAGTATGATTCTTATTGTTTTTGATATATTTTATTAGTTTAAGCTGAGCAAAATCATTACATGCATTGGTTTGCGTAAAAATAACCCAGTTAGTACCTAATATACACATTTGTATAAAGTAACTTTGTTTATATATATATATATATTAATACATATATGTATATATATATTGCTGTATAATCGAGATGTATTACTTATCAACCATATTTATATCACGTGAAACAAAGGAATATGAAAAATATCAACCATATTTATATCACGTGGATCAAAGGAATATGAAAAAATATCAACCATATTTATATCACGTGGAACAAGAGAATAGAATAAAATATCAACTATATTTATATCACGTGGAACAAAATAATAGGATAAAAATATCAACCATATCTATATCACGTGGAACAAAATAATAGAATAAAAATATCAACCATATTTATATCACATGGAACAAAAAAATATAATAAAATATCAACCATATTTATATCACGTGGAACAAAAGGATAGGATAAAATATCAACCATATTTATATCACGTGGAACAAAAGGATAGGATAAAATATCAACCATATTTATATCACGTGAAACAAAATAATAGGATAAAGATTGAAAAAAGTTTATAGTTTTAACTTGTACTGTAAGGTAGTTTTTGTGTGTGGATAACTGATACTCAGCTGTAAATAGCCAGTGAAATATGTTTGTTATGAACACATTGCCCCATGTCGAAATACAGGGTGGTCCTAAAGTAATAGGCCTCTGGTGCATCATAAATATAGTGTATTTTATTCTCTCAGTCAGTACAAGAGCGGTAACAAGAAAAATTTCCACGATAAAATAAATCTCTTTGAAACGACCCATTTCATTCGCGTTTGTATTCGATGCAGGCTACTCTTGGAAAGTATATTTCTACTGTATATGGGCTCAAAGCAGTGGTCTCTAACCTTTTTTGGATTGTTTTCAGATTTAGGCTTAGTCTTTAATTATATTTCCTTTTCAAGGCTGGCATCATAAACCCAGCAGAGACTTACAATAAAAGAAACTAATGGAGTATAAATATAATATTTACAATATGTTGAAATATAAAAGTATAAGGATACACTAGTAAGTGAGAAATTTCCCTTATTTGATATAACATAACTTATATCAACGATGAATGATGCATTACCACTTTTACTAGGGGATGTTAGTTTATCTCCTTCTGTTACTGTAGAAAATTCACATATTATTTTAAGTAAACATCACGTTTGGTTATTTTAATGAAACGGATTACATGTTTCGCGTATACATACATAATACTCTTTTCATGCTTCTTTCCTCCCAAATTCAAAATAAACAGGGTCTCATTTTGGGTGTCGACCTGGTGGTTGGAAAACTCTGGTCTAAAGTCCTATTACGTGTGGACCACCCTGTATATTCAATGTTAAAATTGCTTATTGAGCTCAGATATTTATGTATAATTTTGAAATAATTTCAAAGTTTAATAATTATTTGTAAACACTAGTGCGCGAATTATGTTTCAGAGAAACAAATCTTATAGGAGAGCGTATAATTTAACAAATTATGTAATTCACTCATCAAAATATGCTAAAGTGCTTTCAAAACTAATAGTGTACCATGTATAAAACTACACAAAGATACTATGGATTGCAATATACTATGGATTGTGATAACACTTCTGATGTGTCTAAAAATTAGAAATATATTTAATTAGATTTGCTGAAGTTATTCGAATAACATTTCTAAACAAACTGCCTTAAACTTAGACCTACCCAAGAACAGATAGAATATTTCTTGCCATATTATGAATACGAAGCTATTTAGCGAAATTCCTTGATACCGTTTTTCTTCAATTATATGCTTAGATTAGGCCTTTCCTAGCCACATATAAGCAAAGTAATTTTTAATCAGCAACTTCGTTGGTTTTCGACTAATGACCTTCCATAATCTATAATTGGATATAGCTAAAAGTATAACTCATGTAAAGAGAGTAGGCCTTTAGCCGAAAGAAATAAAATACATTAAATACGAATTTTAAAAAAGTATGCGTTATACTGACATTAGATATAATATGGATTTGTTCATAAGAAACAAAATTCACATGATAACATGATGAAATACATAAAATATATATTGATCCAGTATTTTACTGAGCTAAATTAAATGATTGTCAATAATAACAAACTACGATAAGTTATGTTTTTATTCAGTTGCAAGTATGGTTAGCTTTTGGGAAATGCACATTATGCCCAAAATTAAAATCTCTAATTTTATGTGTTTAGTTATGGCAGTACTTGAATCACGAACATTCATATCATTCAATTCAGTTGTATTTTGCATGAAGTAGGTATTAGTTTTGTTCAACTTGGATATCGATTTTGAGCAATAACTGAAAATACTGAAACGAAGTTTGCTTGAATATTAACACGTAATTCTTAAGACTAAACGTGGAAACTTAATACACATTTCTTAAGATTAAACATGGAAACGGAGCTTTTCAGTATTTGAAGCTGACAGAAAGGCTATTACCAAAATATATTGAAGTTTTATTTTAAACACTCTCACATAAATACTGTTTTAGTTTTTTTATTGTGTCGAAGGAAACGTTACCAAAATGCTATTTTAATTAATAACAAATATGTTGGGAGATTTTACATAACCAGACAGATTTATGTTCTTTTACAGTTGTAAAAAAATCAATCACATGCTTGTGAGCAAGGCAAACCAAACAGTGGATGAAAAAATTAAATATATCACAGAAATATCACCCGAAGCGAAAGTCATCCTGTATTCAAATTGGACAAACTTCGTTGTGAGCAGCACGTTTCATGAGTTTAGTCACTTTCTGAAAATGGATGTCATACCCTCACAAACTGACTAACAAGGAATGTGTGAGCAGTAACGTGAAAGCAGCTTATCTATTATTGCGCCAACAATTCAGCCAAATAGATTTAACCAAGAAATTAATTTGCTCGTTCATTTTTATCATAAGAAGAATAACTTTTTTTCTGCCTTATTACATGCTTTTCTAGTCCAATTCTCTATACTACCTTTGGACTTGTTGTAATCTTTAATCCATTTTTGATTATTTATTTTAAAGATTTAAGACTTCCTCTTTTGTAAAGGCACGAAGATAAAGTTAACTACTATCTCTTTAAAGTGCAAATTAGCCCTACAATTGGCTATAAACTCTAAATGTTCAATGTCCTCAATAACTGTTGACTTCTAAACAGCTTGGAGGTTCTTGTCGTTAGTGAAAGAAAAATCTCATGAAAATGTATTTATGTTGAATATGTTTTTCTGTATTGGAAAACCTTCTTTCCTAATAACTATAATATTTTTTGTTACTGTATTAGATTTTTATTACTTTTCAAGAGATTTATCTTTCATATTGAAAGAAAATCAAATTCAACACATCTCTGAAAACATGCCTTCTTTAGAAGCTATCTTATAACTTTGACAAAAATTGCTTATGTCTACTAAAAATAAAAAATCGTTGCTTATATGAACCTTAAAGTAACGCTACTTGCTTTAAAGATTTATTTTACAAATCCTCAGAAGTCCTAAATGAACTTCATTTGTCCTATTTTTCCTTATTTTTGACAGGCGGGAAGACGTTTTGATGGAAATGACCAATCACATTGCCGGCAGGTCTGTAGTTTGCAACCACTACAATTTTTCCAGATCGAGTTCTTGCCTTTCCAATTCCGAACTCCTGTGTATTTCTCCAAATCATTTGTGTAAAGTGACCTGCATAAATAAAAGATTAATTCATATGTCTAGAAATAGAAAACTCATAAAACTTTACAGTATTAGTCCTGTCTAACAGAAAATAAAGAAAGATAAGATAAAAGACGTTCCATCTAATCAGATAAATTGCATTTCGCTATAGAATATACATACTTACCGGCTTTAACATGTAGCAGCGATGGCTTTTGATAAAAATCATAGAACTTGATTTCTTGGTACCAATACCTAGCCACCTGGTCTCCTAAAAAAAGAAAATTATGTGAACTGTATTTGTAAAATATCAAGTTGATTATCTAATAGAAAAATAAAAGAATGAACAATTAAATTTTTCCCGCATGTATAATTTTAAAAAAATGTGCAAAGGGCAGTGGCAAAAACCATCCACGTGCCCCAGGCGACAGTGCACAACATAATAAAAAATGATCTCTCTCTAGAAAAGTGACACAAGTCACATGTACAAAAGTTGATATCACAAGACATCCATTCAACTGTCATATGCCTCAAGCAGTTGGAGAATGAAATGTGTATTCATAATATTCCATATCAAAACATATTGTCAAGTCGGCAGATGCAGCATCTATGGAAATATGTGTATTTGGACCCGACTGTTGAGATGAACCATCATCCTCCTACACAAGAGAGACTAAAAAGTAACAGAGAGTAAGAATGTGCTTTGGATCTAACAGCCTTATGATTGAGACGCTTACACTATTTTGAAACTATTAGGCATAACTATTTTTATGATGGATGGGTACAAACTTCATTGTTAACTTACCCATGCATTGTATCAAAACAAAAATCAAATGACATAGAGCATTTGTTATGCCAACTTTACTACTGAACCTGATCTTACAGGTGCAAATTTCAACTAACAAAAATGGTTTTATACAAAATGTATAATTTATTTACTAAGTGTTAAATTATTATAACCAGAATATGACATTTGACAGAACTAAACTTTACTTGTTAAATAACTAACAGCGTAAGCAGTCTAATAATTGACTTTGTTGAACTGACAACTCACTTTACCATATTACCAATTTTATATTCATATCTTTTTATAATGAAAAAGAAAATATGTTCAATGAACAATTATATTAAACACATTTTGAAGAGGTTGTGCAGGTTATATTGGAATGATTTTAAAGTCTCATCACTTTGTTACAGTCCATTCATGCTCTATATTTCCACTCTCCCACATATATAGGCATTAGGTTAGTTTCTGGTTTTTCATTAAGCATATCGTTTTCTGTTACTTACCACATTTGTACCATTACCATTTCAGGGTTGTTGTTTTTTAAACAACAATGTTATGCTTGAGTAATATGTGTGTTTTACATTGTTTCAGCTGTGTATTCGAGCTCAAGATTGGGCAAACCATCTTGCTCATACAAACACCATTTGCCATAAAAATGACATGAACATTGGGGAAAACCTCTTCAGCAAATGCCTTGGTATTTCTGACCCTGATCCTAAAGGTACCTTATTTACTTACCAATTTGACTAAATGTTACCTTAGTTTTGAATTATTTTATTGGCCTTAAAAGTTATGCATTTTTTGTATTTTATATATTAAAATCAAGGTAGACAAAAGTAATCTATTTAGCTTTTACTAATCAACCAGGAAATTAACAGTTGTCTCCGTGTTTGTGAAGAATGTTTGAACATTCAAACTTTTCTGGTAGTTTGTACTTCCCTTCAACCAGTAAGTGAAATGGTCCCACAGTATGAAAACAGTATTGTATACAAACAATAGCCAAAGTAGCTGAGTGTAAATTATATAGCTATCTTTCACTTATTTAAAGTATACAATGACTTTAAAGGGTTCAAGTACATTGTACATTCCCTTCACAACGTAAAATCAACTTCCTTAAATATATTCTATATCTAGGACAATTGTTAATTTTTTAATGATAACGTAAAGAAATCAAGCTGTTTTTCATACTTCTGTTGTTTGGTCAGTGCTGTGACATGCTAGAACAGACAAAGTAAAATTAATCTAATATATTAATATTTCTACTCATTTTTATTTTACTGTTTTCAATTTCTCCAAAAGTTTGCTTCAGCTTTTAATGACCACTACTGAATAAAATTCAAAGTGGTTGGTCTCCACATGAGCTGCATGATAAGATCACCACCTGAATATCTGTGAAAGGCTGAGCAGTGATAAAATTAAAGCTTCTATATCAAAATCAGTGCAACTCTACTGGCATGATATTGATTTTTTCCCTAGTAAGGTGAAAATGACAACCTTGGAAAGTCTTCATCAACATTCAGAGAGTGCGAAGCTGTTAGAAAATAAAATATCGTATGGTGTAGCTAAGAAAAGCAAAAGTTATTCTACCTTTTATATGACAGCTGACCTGCACACGTTCCTGGAATTTTAGTCTAGTGCTCAACTCGACTCTACTTGGCTCTCTATAACACTGATCACGGTATCTAGTTTACAGACCACTTGTTTGAGTAAGTGTCTATGACCTTCCCATTATAGACCCGAATAAACAAAATACAAGCACTGCCTGCCATTCAGTCACAAATAGTATTGTTATTGACACTGTTTATTTGTGGTATGTTGAGTTCCGCAATCAGGAGTAGAGCTTGATTTATGGCTTCTCTTTCCATCTTTGTGCTGCTTGTAAGAAGCTTTACTGCTCCATCAATCTTATGCATAGTGCTATTGTTTCATCTGGTTGGAATACGAAGGTTGGCTATATCCATGGTTGAGAAGGTGGTTATGGTAATACTTGAGACAGACCATTGATGGTGATTCAGTCTGAATGTCAGCTTACATGCTTTATAGTGTATCTTCTGTTAATGCAGCTATGACCCATCTTAAACATGATACGCGAATGCATGTTCTTTGCATTATTTAAGAAAGAAAGTGCAGCTGAACTGTGTTTCAGACATCTTCCAGATCTAATTCTAATGATAAGATATGATCAGTTTCATACTCTTCCTATTCAGCAACATTGATCAAAGTTTCTCTTTCTTCATGATAACAATCTAACGATGATGTTAGTAGTGGTGCAATCTGATAGACAAGCCTTCTAGTTACAACATTCATTTACAACCTCTTTTGGAATCTTGCCAATGATGTTTTGTAGGACAATGGTTCAATAACTTTAAAATGAGAGTGATCCTTTGTGGGTTTGGGTAAGGATTTGGTATCAGTCCATATATCAAGGATACTACCTGTTGCCCTGCTATATGTTACTTTGACAATTACTTCAACAGGTTGGCTTCTCTAAGTTTCTCAAAAGTGGAGATTCTTAACAATATAAACTTAGAGATTCATCCTTAGGTGCGTTTGTGGCTCTGTGTATCTCCCCCAAATTAAAATGACTTTCATATTCACCTGTAGTAATTGCTTGGATAGGGACTGCTTAGCTTGAAACTCTCTTGCATATCACCTTAGTCACATTAATGTATCTGCATATGAAGACCTTGCCTTGGCCTTCATTTGTATGGTGTGGGGTACATTCATTATTATAAATGATTGGTGTTACCATGTTTTGGGTTCCTGTATCAGATATAAGCTTGTGAAAGTGACCAAGTGAAGTGTGTGTGAGACTGACCTTGCTGCCTAGATCATTTCACTTCATGTTTCGTGCTTTTGAAGCTAAACACCCGTAAAGAGCTCAGGCTCTATTTTATGCAGATCTTGCCTCCCCTGCCTGGGCAGGGTCATATCCTATCCACGTGAACTCAGCTTAGAATTGACTGCATGCTTTCCAGTGTATTATGGTGTATTCTTCATGGATGTGTCATTTACCAGCTCGGTGTTTAGACTTTGGATCTTTATTTTTCTCCTTCTTTTGCTGGTCAGTTGAAGCCCCTCACTGAGTGCACGAGCTCTTTTTCTGCCATGGAGACTCATATAGGTGCTATTTTTTTAATGTATCGTTGTTTTTAAAAATATATTAACTACTCAATGTTCAGAACCCGATTTCTAGCAATATAAGTCCCCAGACATATCTCTGTGCCACTGAGGGGCATTTTGATGGGAATAACCGTAACAGTTTTATGAGAGAAAAATATCTTAGAGTTCTGGTTGATCAACCTCTTAAACTATCCAAGCAATGTGCTGTTACTAGTAGCAGGACAAACAGGATTTTAGGTTGTATATGCAAAAATACTGAATACAAGTTTAAAAAAATTTTAATAATGTTGGTCATTGTTTAGGCCACATTTGGAATACTGTGTTCAGTCTTGGGCTTCTTACCTTAAAAAGAACATTAAATTGCTGAAAAGAGTTCAGAAGAGAGCTACTAGGATGGTACCCTGGATAGAACAGTTATCATTCGAGAAGAAGTTAATATTTCTGAACTTGTTTTCTTTCGTAAAAAGAAGAGTTAATGGGGTGATTCAGGTGTTTAAGATTGTTAATGGTACTGATAGGTTTAATGCACCACCCTTTTTTCATATTTAATGGTGAGAATGGTAATACTAGGAAACACTAATATAAACTTTTGTAGGGTAGGAGTCAGCTTCAGCTAAAACAGCTATATCTTTCTAACATGGTGGTTAGTCACTGGAACGGTTACTTTCGTATGTGGTGGATGCAGTTACTTTAAGGGAGTTTAATGGAGAGCTTGATATATATCTGAATGATAAGGGTTGGTTTTCAGCTTTTCTGGTTTAAATTAATTTAGTGGATAGGACAGCCTAGATGGACCAAATAGTCCATTGTTGTACTTTAATGTTATGTTATTATAGAAGAGTCATAGACCTAGTTTAAACGAACATTAAGCCTCGATGGTCGTAATGTGAAAATTACAATACGTAATCTTTCATAAGGGCTTGCAGTCAATATCCCCCTTTCTCTCCCTTTTTTGAATGTAAAATTAAGAACACTAGGTAATGACTGCTGCCTCCGTTAAATGATAAGTAGTAAATTAGTTATCTTTAACAAAATATCAGTTCTCTCTCTTAACTAGTTCCCCGGATGTGTCAACAGTAATATTACTGACTTACAATGCTACAATCCGGGGTTCGATTCTCTGTGGTAGACAGAGTACAGGTAGCCCATTGTGTAGCTTGCACTGAGAAAACAACAACAATGTTTAACTAAATTCACAAATACTTGATCTACTCATTTTCAAAAACGACATAAGTAGAAGGTGTTTTTAATAAAATCACTAGATATATTTAAATTTTGGCTTATTAAGCTCAGTAACTATATTTTAATTTTAGCTTATTAAGATCATTAGATATATTTTGCCAGCTTTATATTTTAACGCTACTGGTCTTGTGACACACTGTGTAGTTTTGCAATGAAGCCAAAATTAATCTATTATTATTTTTTTTGTTCATTTATTTCCACGTGCTATACTTTCCAATAATTTATAGCTAAATTCTATTTCACACAACGTTTTTACACAGATGTTAAAAAGTATGAGCTGTGTTATGCTAGAAATTTTCATCTAAACGCCACTAAGTATGATGTTTTTTCGTACATGTGCCTCAATCGTCCCTAATTTTGAACTCATAGATTAGAGGGAAGACAGCTAATTAACAGTAACCACCGTTAACTCTTGAAATACTCTTCTCTGACCGAATAGTGGGATTTAACCATCGTCCTTATAATACACCCACCGTTCCAATGTCCTGAGCGCAATTATTATTATTAATTGTTTGGCGGTAACTGGACGTGAATAATAGACCCATAGATACATAGTCCGAAATGCTAACTATCTATTGGGCCACACTCGGCCAGACTTAACGTAGGGTATTAAGATAATGATGTAATAATATTTTACGTCAAAATAAAGCTCAGATTAGGATAATAATAATACAATTTGAAACTGATATATTTCAAATGGCTTTCTGATTATGGAAGAGATGAGTGTTTATCTAACTTAATGTTTCTAATAATAACACGGGTTAGTTAGTTATATATAATACACTTACCATTGTATTAAAAGTGAAAATATTCGGATCTTTCAATTATTATTTAAAACCTTTCACCCAGTCTTGTTTTTTCTTCAAAAACTGGGTTGTAGATTGATACAAGAGATGCAGATAATAACTATAAACGATGTTATAGGGCTATTGCATTTCTTTACATTCGCCAAGGATGTTAAGTGGCCGTTAAGGCTTGAAACTATCATCGAATCATTTGCATCGAAGCTTGACTTGTCTGTTTATTCTTTGAATCACTTTATCTTTTGGGAAGTTCAGCTAAACATGGCTTAAAGGCCTTTATGCTTTTTTCTTTTTATTCGACTGTGCTTGTTTAAGATATAGTGATATGAAAGAAAATATTATAGTATATTAATAATATATTTCTTAATTTCACATTATTCTGATAGATAAGTAACATGATAAGCTAAAAAGGGTTTTACGTCACCTGGTGGGACAAAACAAGAAGAGGTGAACCATGAAAATCTCGGAAAATGTTGTGCCATTGTAGACAGCTCGTAACGAATTCACTTTGGCTATACCAAGTAGTTATGTCCTCATCATGATAATATAGATTTAATGGACGACTCAGAGACACCTGCTAGTAAAGAAAGTCACTTTGTCATTATTATTTTTTGGCCTAAGAAACTTAGAATTTAAATCTTATTAAAATGCATATTCAAACACTCTGGTTATTAGGTGTCCAGATTTTACAAAAGATCGCAAAGTACATAAATAATGTAAGCATTACACTGAAATTTATTAAAACATAGTAATTTGTGAAATAATTATTTTCATGCACTTTGATAAACTTACTCAAAATAAGTTATATATTCAATTTTAAATCAAATTTAATTTTAATCTACTTCTATGATCAACTTATAAAGATATAATGATATAGACGTTTTACTAACTGATTTTTAAAAACATCTCAAACGACGTACGCAATCAAAATAAGTTGTTGACGTACAACACAGAGGTTTTCTGGTTTTCTTGCCTAACTATGATTGATTGAAAAATGTATTATAATAAATAACATCAATAAACCATCTCTCGCTAAAACAGCTTGAAAATAATTTTGAAAATGAAAAAAGAATTATCACTCAGTCTTATTTTCCACAATCCTATGATGAATAAGTCTATTTTACTAAATGGCTGCTCGAGAACTGAGATTCCCACAAAAAGATGCATTCCATTAATCTTATTTGAAAATCAATCACAGTGCATACAATATATATATATATCAACAATTACGAAATTTCTTGTACAAGAACATCGTTTTTTTTTACAACAAACGAACATAGGACTGTCTTTGAAGGCTAAATTTTATCATCAGTGTTCTAGAAAAGTGTATTTCTGAGAAGCAACGAAATAATAGTAACCCCCTCCACTCCCGACTGTGCCTTAAATGTTAAGGCAGCACTTTTAAGTCTGTCAAATATAAAAGACTGTTTAGTGTAGATAGTATTATTAATTAATTTATTTTGTGTTTCTAATTCATTGATGTCGAGGCTATGGAGATTTCTAGAAGGCCTAAGTGATAGACGTATAAGTAACTGCGACCAGACGAGCGAAAATAGAGTAAAAGTAAAGTCACATGAAAGAGAAGTTTGGTCAGAGAAAAGTTAGAAAACGTAAAGTTAACAATCGTGGGAGTGAATGGCCTAACTGGTGTTATGTTACAGTGAGATTAACAGTTTAAAAGTGATAAGGAGAATAACTTGTCTCGTCAAAGGGTGTTCTAAACTAATTGAACCCGCCTGTGTAGACTATGACAGACGATTATTGAAAGTACGAAGAGCAGACGATTATTGGAAGTACGAAAATCAGATGATTATTATAAGTTCAGGACACAACCGCGGTAACTCTCGCTACAGAGCAAGTTAATTATACACGGATATTATTGCAAAAAATAGAGAAATAGTTTAGTTTGTAAACTGAATTCTAAAGCAAATGAATTGACCTAAGTGGACTTTTCACATGAAGAAAGAAGCTGTATTGTGTGTAAGATACAACTATAATCTCCATAGTGTAAATACTTTTGTACCTACCTTTCACTTGTTTCGAACATATATATATTATTTTAAAAACAGTGGCCTGCATGGTGTTCGTTCATTATCGAATTTATCGCCGACAAGTCAGAGACACCCACTGTAGAAGAATCCTTAGCCAAACACACCCACCTATTTACATTACTATATATACTACTAAAAAGTAGTTTCTGACAAAGTCTAATAATTACGAGCAATTTGTAGTTTAAATTTTAATGTAATTTTAAAGGAATGTAATGGGTTAATAACAAATACCAGTTAACATATAATATAGCTCTAAAAGTCTTAAATATCTCAGGATAGGCCTGAATGATTATAATTAAGTGAACATATTATTTAAAAAAAATTGTAAATGTAGTATAAGGGAACAAAAATCTAAAACTAAATGTTTTCAGCTATCGAAACGATGTTGAATATATATATATATATATATACCTGCACATATAAGAAGTTTTATTTCAATTGTACCTGCAGATATAAATGTTTGATTTTGATCTTGTTTTTTACAGTTGACAACACTTATATTATTGTCGGTTGTTGTTCATTTAGCTTTTAAATTGTAGCCTATCTGTGTCATTTATAGTTTTGGATTTGTTTTCACCTTTGCTTGTACAAGTTACACATTGTAGCATCAACACGTGGTGATTCAAAAGACATAAAATTAAATACTTAAAAGTATGTAGTTTATATGTAAAGTTCTTAAGCTGAAACTGTGCTCTGATAAGTGATAGTGCTGTGGTAAGTGCTGGTATCTATGAAACCTATTCCCATGGCCAATAAATAAGGCTAAGATACATAATTAGCTCCCACAACTGGAACGTCACAAAATGAAAATATTAATAGTAAGATAGATGAACTTTGCACAAGAAGTGATTTAAATGTACGAGAAATTAAAACGAAATAGAAGTAGTATAGGCTGTACAGACCTCAAAATCTGAACCGAGTAAGAACTTATATCATTAAAATAAACAATAAGAACACAAAAATATGGCATAATACGTAACCTAAGCATTCAGCCAAAGGTGCCACAAACGTCAGTCGACCCTGGCCATAGTAATTTTAAAAACATTGCCACTTATATGAAATCTATCTTTTACATACACGGAATACTATGTGTGAAACCGTCCTTGCTAAGCTATTTGCAATTTTCCCTTTGATATTGAAGATAAAAAGTACAAAATATTTATCAGAGAACTCAGATCTGCAAACAAAGGGCTTATTTTCCCAAGACAAACAACAAGTGAACTGCGTATATTGTGAACCTTGTTAGCGTACCATCCATCGTGATTCAAGTGGATGCCCGAGTGGAAGGTCTTAGACAGAAGGTACAGGATCTTGAGTGTTCCAGAAGGCATATTGCAACATGTGTGCTCTTAGGCCATTTGAGACGACGTGAAAGAGAAATTGATCTTTTGGAAGTATATTCTTCTATGACTAATGAAAATAACTTTTTATCTTGGCAATAAATGTCACGGCTTTCTTAGGAAATTGTGAAAAATTGGTGAAGGGAGAAATGGTAGAGTTATTATAAGTGGGGCTTATAGCTGAACTTGATTCCATAATAAAGTGACTCACTCGCATGTTCAATGGAAAATTGAAATGCCTAAGTCGTACTGTAAAATTATACAGCGCTTTTAAAGTTCTTAGAAAGTGACTTATGTTTACCATTTTACTACATTTTAAATGGATGCGACTAATTACATTTCTAAAGTTGATCGATGAAGCAAAATGATCCATTGTTTTAAAATCACAAAGACACAGTGATAGACGTGAGAAAATTAATTTTATTAACAATCTTCTTGATTTTTCACCAAATAAAAGAAGAGACCATTACTGGGATTGAAACAGAAATCCAAAATCTTAATGAAAAACAAATTTCCCATTTGCTCTTATCGAATTGCTATGGTCAAGGATACGACGGCGCTGCAACCATGAGTGGAGTAACGTAGGTGTACAATAAAGGATTAAGGAGATGTTGTGTTCTGTATATGTTTTAGATTATCCCAGAAGCATCACAGAAAAGGAGTGTTTTTTACGATGCTTTGGGAAATTTTGTTGTTTGGCTAAGATATCAAGTGATGGGACCTGCTTTATTTACAAACGATCAAATGGTTAGCTGGAACCAACTCATTTGATATGTCGACTTTCTTGATGGTTGTATTGTTATGCTTTGTGAAAATTAAAATATCTTAACTAAAATTATTCTTGAAAGAAAGGAGAACTATGAACGTGACAAAGCAATTAATTTGAAAAAAAAACAGAACGAAATGTGATCTCAGAATTTTAGTTAGGTTCTAGCAAAGATCTGAGATTTTAGTTAGGTTCTAGCAAAGATCTGAGATTTTAGTTAGGTTTTAACAAAGATCTGAGATTTTAATTAGGTACTAACAAAGATCTGAGATTTTAGTTAGGTTCTAGCAAAGATCTGAGATTTTAGTTAGGTTCTAGCAAAGATCTGAGATTTTAGCTAGGTTCTAGCAAAGATCTGAGATTTTAGTTAGGTTCTAACAAAGATCTGAGATTTTAATTAGCTACTAACAAAGATCTGAGATTTTAGTTAGGTTCTAGCAAAGATCTGATATTTTAGTTAGGTTCTAACAAAGATCCGAATGCAGTTAATATGGCTTTTAAACTTTTTAATGTAAAAACATGTCCCTAAGAGATGCTAATTGGATTACACACTAGTTTAATGAAGTCAAGAAAGACGGTGACACTTTCGCTCCAAAGTAAGACACCGAACCAACGTTCAAAGAGAAGCTTGTTGGTCAAACAAAATGCAGTTTTAATTACATATCTGACGAACAGAGGTTGATGGGTCTAGAATAAAGCCCTAGAACTATATTATGTAATTCAACCTTAAGCATTGTTATTGTAGATCTTGATTCAAGATTTCGAGGAATAAGAAGAATTCCACACGAATTCGTTATATTGAGCTAGCTGATCTAAGCAGGTTGATAACAAAGAATTAGTTAGGGCAGTATTTGTGTAAGATCTAATTCCAATCTTTTTATTGCAGCTGGTGTCTCTTTGAGATCAGTTTTACACCAGAACATTTGAGAGGGAACTTCGGTTATGGATTTTTGTTTGTTTATAGTTAAGCACAAAGAAACGCAATGGACTACCTGTGCTGAGCCCACCATGAGTATTGAAATCCAGTTTGTAGTGTTATAAGTCCGCAGACGTACTGCTGAGCCACTGGACGCTGTTATGGACTTTGTTCTTTCATTATTAATCGAGTACTGGAAAATATTTCCATTTCTTTACTAATGTGTGTGCTGTTTATTTCTTATCCTAATGCTGTGTAGTCTTCACAAATCTGGAGAGAAATTAACTGTGCTAAGAAATATTTGAATGACTTTGGTCGTAGTGCAATAAATCTGCATATTCTAGTAAAATAAAAGTTGATACAATGGTATTGGATTTGGGGGATCTTATAATTTGGTGAGTGTCCTAAAATTACAATACTATAATTCAGATATGCATGTATTCGGGGGGGGGGGGGCTCGTGGGCCTCAAACTACACAATGGGCTATCGAAACCCGGTGAGCCTCGGGATGTCTCTTCCCTGTTATTTATATTTCAAGCTACTGTATTGTATAATTAGAAACAACGTACATTTTACAATAGTTTAATACTGACAAAAAGGATGTGGGTTGTCTTCTAACGTTTGAATAATACCATAATTATTAATCACCAGGAGTCACCGAAGTGCCAATTTTATCGTTTTCTAAAGAAAAATCTTCTTTAAAAAAATGTGAAAGTGCCCAACTAATGTGTGCGTGAAATTCTATAGTCTATGAAATAAAAAAATTAGTTTGGGTTGTGAATATTTTATACATTGTTGAGCTTCTGTTTCTTTAAGGAAAAATATTTAGAAGATGCTGCAAAAGACAAATATTGATAATTCAATTGCAAAGCTGGTTAAAATAAGTTTTAGGTTTAGGGATTATAGCGTCATTTCCCCAAACACTCTGTATAATTTTTTTTCGAGAAACATTGTTTAATGACAGTTCTCATAACACTCTCGAATGTTGCATTTTACGAATGAATTTACTTAGTCTCAAGAGAGTTCTATTAAGAATTTATATTACTTATGTAATAAAATATTTAGTACGATAACGTGCTATATACTTTGCAATCAAGGCTTTACAGTGGATTTATATTAGGATTATTTAACTTCTGAGAAATAGAATTAAAACTGAGTGTCTCTCGACTGAAGCACTAATCGATCTTGAAAATGAGCCTGAAGAAATGAACCTATTGCAAAATAGAAATATACACAATTCTCGCCCAAAACAAGCTCGCACAGAGTTATATTTCATTATGTTTTATAGGTCTGAGTAAATTGAAAGTTTAAACTTGGACAATTTGTTTCAATTTTAAATGTTGATTTTATAGTGTGGCTACTATTATCAATGATAATTATATATGTTCCATGTACCACTTAAAAAACTCAGAGGAAATACGTGTAATGACCAAATACATTTAAAAGGCCCAATAGTCTTTAGGGTTAATACATTTGTCAAAGATATGTATAATGAAGCTAGCAAAAACGTATTTTAAAATTTCATAACATGACTCAGAAAGGCCATCTACACCTTAAAATATAGAGAAACCTTAAAATTAATGTAGGAAAAATGTGGCCAATAGTCCTTAGGGTTAATACATTTGTTAAAGGTATGCATAATGAAGCTAGCAAAAACGTATCTTAAAATTTCATAACATGTCTCAGAAAGGCCATTTACTCCTTAAAATATAGAGAAACTTTAAAATTAATGTAGGGAAAATGTGGCCAATGTTTCCATAGCTGGTTTATTTGGTATTCTTATCACGAACTCAACATTTTAAAAAGTTATAAATCTAAATATCGCTGTATGTGAAGATTTTCAAATGTGGTGGTAAACACCTGATACAAAATGATACTTCAAAACGTTTGTACAGCCTGTTTTTGAATCAACTGTGAAGAGCAAATTGACATGAAATTGGTTTCTAAAAATACGAAATGTATTTTGTTCTTATTGATTTGATATATGCAAATCTCTGTCTAAAAGACGCGTGCGACTGTTACAGAAAGGAAGAAATGACTGGTATAAACAGATATGCACCCAGAAAAAAACATAATGACTGGTATAAGCAGATTTGTACCCAGAAAAAACATAATGACTGGTATAAACAGATGAGTACTCAGAAAGAATGCAATGTCAAGTGTAAGCAGACGTGTACGCAAAAAGTAGGAAATGACTGGTAAGAATAGATGTGTGTCTAAAAAGAACGAAATGACTAGTATAAACAGGTGTATAACTAGAAAGGAAGAAATGACCGGTATAAACAGATGTGTATCCAGAAAGGAAGAAATGACTAGTATAAACAGGTGTATAACTAGAAAGGAAGAAATGACCGGTATAAACAGATGTGTATCCAGAAAGGAAGAAATGACTAGTATAAACAGGTGTATAACTAGAAAGGAAGAAATGACTAGTATAAACAGGTGTATAACTAGAAAGGAAGAAATGACCGGTATAAACAGATGTGTATCCAGAAAGAACAAGATAAACGGTGTAAGCAGGTGTCTAACCAGAAAGGACTCAGTCACCAGTATAAACAGATGTGTACCTAAAAAGGACGAAATGGCTGGTACAAACAGATAGTTCTAAAATAATGGTTAGAGACGGCTTGAATGAGTAACGAAGAAAAACTTTAATGTAAGTTTAACATAACAGCACATGTACAACGTTTCGACAAGGTTTTGTCATCATCATCATCAGTTCAGTTTTAATCCTAGAATGTGTTCCTGTTTGTCTCATTGTTCTGTGGTTACTAAAATAACTTCAGTTACTTTTTTGTTGTAATTCTGTCTAAAATAAACTGTTAATAGCCTGCATTGATATACGTTCCAATTTTTAGATTTGCTAATTGTAATCAACAATTTCCAATATTGTCATTAAACGATTAGAATAAAACTTTCATTCACGTACAGACTAGACGTTTAAGTGAGTAACTTGAGCTTCCTTGGTTTATTCGAGGCCTCAGTATGTGAATAATCAAACTCTCTTTTATGATAGAGCTGTGTTTAACATTGGCCTTTGTTACAACTTTGAAATGATTTGAATGTACAACAACTTTTCCAAATATTAAGAACATCTACATTATTTTTTCTTGTGCTCAGCTATCATTAAGCACGAACTTTGCAACCTGGTTGGAACCTTGAATCCACAAAAAAACTATACAGAAATTTACAAGAAAATGAATGTTTCCCCACAAAGAGAAGGCGTGTTCTGTTTAGCCGAGAATAAATAAACGGTTGAGCTAAATGTTTTATTTTAAAATCGTCGCGCAAAATTACGCAAGCACTGCCTGCGCTTAGCTGTTCCTAATTTTAAACAGACTAGAGGGAAGGCAGCTGGTTTTTGGTCTAATAGACTAGAGGGAAAGCATCTGATGAACAGCACTTATTGCCAACTCCTGTAAGATTAGATAGTGGGAACTGACCCTCACTCTTTTAACGCACCCACAGCGCCAAAATGCGGAGAGGCATTTTAGCGGCAACCTGACACAAATTATAAAAAATTGATCTATAATCTCGGAATACTTTTCACTAGGCCACACCCGGTACAAGAATGTACAGAGATGGTAAAAATAGAAAATAATATAAAAACAGTGGAGATAAAGAGGATTATACTTGCCTTATTAAGTCTTTCAATAGAATTCGCTTTCCAAGGAGGTGTTGAATATAACACTGGAAAATATTTGCTGGGTAGCTCTTTAAAACTGTGTCGTTTATCACTTTTAGACGACCCACGATACTTAAAGGGTGATTGTGAATGCTTGCAACAGTCTGATGACGTAAATGATGAAACGTCATGTGAATGAAAAAAGTGTGTTGAAGACTTATTGTACAAAAACTTTATTGTCGATGGTAATGCACGAGACTTTATAGAAGAATGATGGCACATGCTAAGTAAGTTTTTGGGGGAACGAGGGCACAGTTCCTGAGTTTGCAAAGAGTACTGATGCAACTTTTGCGTTTTTATCGGAGAACTTTCAAACAAATTATGCTTTTTTAATATGTGTTTTGGTGAGTTGATTGGCGAGTATTCGCTACAGTCGAAAGAAATCCGAACTTTTGACCGTGAATTTCCACTTGAACTTTCACGCGGAGAACACTCTATTGTCTGTTGAGCTTTATTTAGAGAATGCCCAATTGTTTCTTGATGTCTGTATAAATAGCGCTTTGTTTTCTGTTGGTTTTTACTCGGAGAATTATCAAGAATCTGTTGGTATTTAGGTGGAGATTGTTCAAGTGTATGTTGAGTTTTAATCGGTACTTGTCCTTCAGGCAGATGATTTTTAAATAGGTGAAATCTTGTTTTCTCCTGTGATTTATAACTTAGTTGTTCTGTTATCTGTTGCGTATTACAGAGACCGTATCTTGATGTCTGTTGAACCTCCCATAGGGAATGCTCTCCTGACTGCTTATACTTTTGTGGAGAATTTTCGCTATTCTGTCGACCTTTGCATGGGGATTGTCCTGGAGAATGTTTTCTTCCGAATAGTTTTGGCGATCCTCGACACAGAATGTGCCATGATGACTGCTTATCTTTCCGTGGGGAATACTCTCCTGGTTGCTTATACTTTTGTGGAGAATTTTCTTCACTCTGTCGACCTTTACATGGGGATTGTCCTGGGGAATTTTTTGTTCCGAACAATTTTGATGACTTTGGACACAGAACATGCTCTGATGACTGTTGTTCTTTATAGGGGGAATACTTTCGTGGCAGCTTAAACTTTTGTGGAGAATTTTCTTCACTCTGTCGACCTTTACATGGGGATTTTCTTGGGGAATTTTTTGTTCCGAACAATTTTGATGATTTTGGACACAGAACATGCTCTGATGACTGTTGATCTTTATAGGGGGAATAATTTCTTGATTGTACATGTTTTTCTTGACCTTTACACGGAGATTGTCTTGGTGAATTATGTGATTTAATATTTTTTGATGCCTTTCGGGGTGACGTACGTAACTCTCGTAACTTTCCCACCACGTAATCCATTCTGAAATGATTCGTAGTCTTAATTAACAATTAAAAAAGAAGAACCTGAATATGTCAATTAAATACGAAACTTACGGTAATACGCATATCACTTTAGTTCATATATTCTAAAAAAAAAAATTTTATTTGAGGAATCGTTTAACTTTGAGCTACTTTTCTTTATCAAGCTCTTAGAATTTGCTAACAATGTTAATATTACAAACTTTACCGTTACTAATGTTCATTTATTTAGAAACAATTCAGACACTGAGCTTTTGCGTTTGTTACAACCAACAAACTATTGTTTATACCCCTAATTATTAAGAGGTTATCATAAGTGAATCTGCTACTTTAGTAAGTTTTAAAAAATACTCCTAAATGACAAAAACACTTTGTGGAGAAGGAAGAGTTTCCTGTTTGATATTGGTACATATTTCTACTGCGGTACATATTGATATTGGTACATATTTCTACTGCGGTACATATTGATATTGGTACATATTTCTACTGCGGTACATATTGATATTGGTACATATTTCTACTGCGGTACCTTCTTACAAACTAACACATGTCTACACCTAATGCTGAAACACGCCTAATCGAGACGTCTGTGGCCATTGAAGGTGATTTTTTTAAAAATATATATAAAATAATTTGACTATATATTGACAATTTTTAACATGATGTCCAGTACAAGTAGCCCTCCTCAGTGGCACAGCGGTATGTTTGCGGACTTACGACGCTAGAATCCGCGTTTCGATACCCGT